TATTTATGTTAAATGCATGTTGTAAATCATCCATGCAACTTAATCTAACCTGATGAGAGCGCGGCGAGTGGGCGGCGAAGGAGGTAGCAGCGGCGAGGGGGCAGAGCGCGGCGAGTGGGCGGCGAGTGGGCAGCAGACCACAGCGAATGAGGTAGCAGCGGCGAGGAGGCAGAGCGAGGGCCGGCGAACCAGGCGCGAAGAGGCGGCGAGGGTAGCAGTGAGGACCGAGGCACGAGAAGAAGAAGCGGAAGGAGGGAGTATGTGGGACGAAGAAGAGGCAGACGAAGGGGAGCGCGAAAGGCGAGAGGTATAAAGGACATTCAACGTCGGTTATTAAAAACCCGACGTGGATAACGCTTTCGACGTCGGGTAAATCATATAACCGACGTTGATTTTGGGAATTCAACGTCGGTTATACATAACCAACGTTAAATTTAAACATTTAATGTCGGTTATAATATAACCGACGTTGAATTTCCAAAATCGACGTCGGTTATAATATAACCGACGTTGAATTGCAGTTACTACGTCGGTTATTATGTAACCGACGTTAAATTTTGCCTCATAATTACAAGTTTGCCACCGCGTCTTGTACAACGTCGGTGTTCGTGATAACCGACGTTGTATGCTGTCGTAGAAAGTGTTTTCTGTAGTAGTGATTACATAAAAGAATAATTATTCATTAAAATAGAAAATTGTTTATATTAACATAAAATAAATAATAAGTAGACATAACTTAAATGTTTTTTTATCATAATCTAATGGCTTAACTAGATTATTTTGATAATTTTCATCAATCCAAATAAATCATAGCCTTTATAATATTATTATATACTCTTACTATCCATCTTTGGTTATTAAAAAAAAATTATTGATAAACTTTGGTTTCTAATTATATCTTTTTCATCCAAAAACTTTAATTTATTAAAAAAAAAGGTAAACTCTAGTTTCGTTTGAAATATTTACATATTTATTTATTAAGTAAAAAAATGATTACTTTTATCAATTTCATTGTATTGTTGTCTTGTAGGACTGTCAAAACTCTCGATCCAACTTAGTCTTATGGGCCAATTAAAAAAATAAAAAATCTAATAGTCTAGTTTAATTTATATTTTAAAATGAGTCAAAATTTTTAGCTTAACCTAATCTTATGTTAGGTCAACAGAGCTAATGAGTCATTTTTTGTCTAATTAAAAATATTTGTTTATTTATAATTTTTTTAAAAATATAGATGCAATTCATTTGTTTATTTAAAATTAAATCATAATCTATTCAGACAAAATAAAATAAAATATATAAAATTATAAAGATGAGTTATTACGATAATGTAGTCTTGATGAGTTATAGTTGTAAACAACATTAAAATTCAAACCTATCCAACCAAAATTATTAGATAACACGTCAACAAGAATTATTAAATAACACGCCTTTTATTTTTTTTAATTAAATACACATTATAAATCTCTATAATTCAGATGTTTCTAGTACTTGGTTTAAAATTATGATTCAAAACTTTATTTACCTCCAAAATTTCTTCGTACTCAACATAGTTAAATTGAAAATCATGCTTAATAATGCATCTAACAAGTACATGTCGATAAATTTTAGAGTCAAATTCATTACTTCAACAAATTAGCCTTATCATCACACATAACTCTCATGTTATAATACTTTGCAAATATACTATATTTAAGAATATGTTATCTTAAATTATTGGTTCTTAAACACAAATGTGACAGACAACAACAAAGAGGAAAAAGATAACAAAAGTAAATGAAGATTATATTTAAAATTTATTATTCTTTCTAAATTATACACACACACACACACACACACACACACACACACACATATATATATATATATATATAACAAAATATATTATCAAATTAATTTATTATACTTATATTTTTTAATAAAATAATATTACTTTTATTTTATTAGTAAAATAATTATTATTGTATAAAAGGGGTCAACCCATAAGCCTACGGGTCAACCTGACCCAAGCCCATTTAGGTTTAGCCTAAATAGATTGAACCAAAAATTTGTTTGATTCTATTTAAGCCATAATTTTTTGTTTAGCCTAATCTTACCTATTTTTTGTCCTTTCGGCCTGACCCATCAAGTTAAACCTATTTTGACACCCCTTCTCATGACAGTAGTGATATTTTAATTTAATTGATGAATAGTAATATAATAACCCATTCAATTATGATAACTTCAATATTAACGAAGTATATGTGATGCATATGTTTTACACTACAAGAAAATCGCGTATTATCGACGGATATTTACCGACGGATTTGTATCCGTCGGAAAATAATTATTACCGATGGAAATTATCGACGGATATATCCGTCGGTAATTGACAGATGAATTTACCGACGGATATATCCGTCGGTAAATCCGTCGATAAATTAATAATTAATTACCGACTGATATATCCGTCGGTAAATTCATCTGTAAATTACTGACGGATATTTCCATCGGTAAATTTTCAATTAGTAAATACTCAACTAATTAAAAAAATTTAATATTTTTTATTTAATAATTTCATTTAATCAAAATTAGATTAATTTATAATAATTTCTTAAATTAAATAATTTTAAAAAATAAATATTTAATTATATATAAATATATAAAAATATATAAAAACATATAAAAATATTTAATTGTATATAAATATATAAATATATAAATATATATATATATATATATATATATATATATATATATATATATATATATATATATATATATATATATAAATATATATAAATATATAAATATATAAATATATAAATATATATAAATATATAAATATATTAAAATATATTTGTATATAAATATATTTGTATATAAATATAATTTATTTGTAAATTATTATCGAAAAATTCTGGTAGCTTAGTGGTTGGAGTATCAGCCTCTAACTCTAAGGTACTCGATAATAATTGAAGCCTATAAAATTGTAATAGGGAAAAATAATTAATAATAAATAATAAAAATATAAAGGGAAGGTGTATTCTATAAAATAAATAATCTATATAAGTAAAATATTTAATAAATAATAAAAATATTACCGACGGATTCCTGTCCGTCTGTAATTTCGTCAAACATTTAGCGACGGATATATCCATCGGTAATTACCGACGGACTATTAAATCTGTCGGTAATATCTACCGACAACCAAATTTCGACGGATTTTTGGTCGTTGAAAATCCGTCGATAAATGGATATTACCGACGGATTTTTGTTATTACCGACGGATTTTGACCGTCGGTAATATCAAAATTTCTTGTAGTGTTAATTATTATTAATGAAGTTATAGTCACTATTATAAATAATAATAGACTTAATTTTTTTATTCTTATATATTTATCATAAAATTATAATAAATAACAAAAAAAATTCAATTTAATGTATATTATTCATCTAGTTTATAGTTATTTGTTATAAAGACGAACCAATTTATTATATATAAACAATTGTTATTGAATGAAAAATACATATATTTTATTTTATATGAAGATGAAAGAGGCCGAGCCAATGAAATCTTGCAAATTGTATCAATTAACATGGACATAGTTTAGAATGAGGTAGACCACGTGTCCTTAAGCTTTTGTTTGATTTCATTGATGCATTGTGTAACTAAAGAAATGAGGGAATAAGTTTATTTAAGGATTACAGGAGAAAATTGGTTTTTTATTTTGCTATTACTATGAATTTATTCATCAATAATTTCCTCTTTTTACACCAACTAATCATAAATTTGCCTCAATCATCTAACATCTATATATATAAATTCCAATTCAAAATGCCACTTAAACAATTTATAATCATCCTCAAGACCTCGTTTAAATATTCTTATATAATAATTCTTATAATTGAGAACAATCAAAATAATATGTAAAATGAAAGAAAAGAAGAAAAGCACATCACCAAAAACTTAGAATGATTTGACTATGCATCAATGAGACACACGTTTATTAGTTGCAATTAATATGTTTATAAATTAAAAATAAGTTTTAATAGAATCCTAATATTATTAGGATACATATCCTTTTTATCTTTTATAATGATAGTCCTTTTTCATGCTAAAATAATTTGTTCGTCAAACTACTAAGATAATAAAAATCATAGGACAAGAGGTATTAATTTCCAATAAGAAGTTACACCTAAACAACAACTTTGATTGCAATTTTTTAATAAAAAACTCACTAATTGTGATACAACTAAACATCTTTTCTAGTGTATGTAAGTTCTAATGTTTTTTAAATCTACTTTCCTTAAGTATGGAGTATCAGCCATGTTAACTTTCACGTAAAGACATCCAAACTTAGCTTGTGGATCATCATCATCATCATTCTTTTAAGGCTGAAAGGTTATTGAGTTCTTCTTAAAAAATTAGATTTATGGTCATCCGATAACCTACTCTTTGACTAAAAAACAAAAACTACAATATTTTAAAGGGAGTACACAAGGAAAGAAACCTATACTGAAATAACCATTTGCATATGTATAAAAAATTATAACTTCAAAATAAAGGAATGTTGTCTAAAAGAAATACATACTAGGTCATAATTAACATAGAAGAAATATCCATCTAAATTACATAGAGTTAACAACATCTATAATATTAGAAAACAACATAACATAACTAGCATATAAAGCGTTAAAGAACTCAAAAGCCTCGTCTTAATAAACTTTATTTTTCCTTCTTTTAAATTTAAAATTCAACTAAATAATTTTTTTAAGTAAAAAGAAAAATCATTTCCTATCTTTTAATCATCCCATTCTATTCTTGCTTCCAACATTTTTTTTTTAAACACAAATGCATGAGTGAGAAAGCTATAAACAAGATAACACATTAACAATACAAAGTGAACATATATTTTACAAAGAAAACATATTAAATCCAAGCATACATTTGATACGTGATTATGCTAGAGGAAGATGATGCTAGTTTGCAGCAAGAGCATATATATGATATTTCTTCTCTTTTAATGACTTTGGAGGGATAGAAGAACTTTAACTTTCAAAATAGATGTTTGTTGGTTGGCACAGTCAGTCTTGCCAACACTAGCACCATCGCCCCTTAAAGAGAACAAACCATCATCTTTGCTCAAACATGTCTCAAATCACTAATTACATAGAAAAGTTGTGTCCTAGAAACACCATTCACATATTAACCAACATAGTCTAATTTTCTATTTCACCCTTAATTATTAACTATGCCAATAAGTCTTCTTCTTAATCATTAATTATCACTCATCCTCGTCGTTCACACCATCACCCTCACCCACACCCACACCCACACCCACACCCATGATGATCTCAAGAGACTCGTGTCATCAAGGTTGTCGAGTTCGTCAAGAGTAGCATGGTTCTCGTCCCTAGCATTGGCTCCACCACCACCTGCGAAGCTTAATGCACTCCTCGTCTCTGGTAAATTCAACAACATTATCGACGTTCCTACCTCCAAATGCATGGAGGAGCATGCTCGTTCCCTCAATATCCCTTCTTCGTACTTTACGACAATCCATGCCTTGATCTCCCCCTTGATGACACAATAGAAAAAAAGAATATTTGTGGAAGAGAAGGAAGCAAGTGAAAAAATTTGGGTGAAAGAGGAAAATAAATAGATGGTTTTATAGTATCAAGAAAGGAATAAGAAAAAATAAACAAAAATACTTACCAAACAATCACATTTTATCTTGAAGAGGCTCAACCATAACTATAAAGAGTTCACGAACTTTAGTGTCCTTTCCAACTACTCAATGGCTGAGTAAGCTTAAATTAGAATAAAAGGACAATGGTTCAAAATAAGGTTACCTTTAGATTAATTAGGAAAAAAGTGCAATGGAGTATATGTAAAATATTAAAAAAGAAATTTCTTCAATTAAAATTTTATAAAATTTATTAAATATATATTTAATTCAATTGATTTTAATTTTATTTCAATATATTTATAAAATCTTAATTAAATTAAAATTTTTAAATATCATAATTATGAAATTTAATTTTAAAACTTAAAATTTAAATAGATTAGTTAATGATTAAATATTTTATTTAATTGAATACTAATTAGGGATGTTAAAAAAATCTGTACCGCGGGTATCTGCAGATAAAATCCGCAACAGGTAGAAAATGGATATTATAAATGGATATCCGCAGGTAATGGGTACGAGTATTTTTTATACCCGCATGCTAATGGGGCGGGTACGGGTATCGTACCCGTGGATAGTCGTACCCGCTAATATCTAATTTACCAAAATACCCTTATATATATATATATATATATATATATATATATATATATATATATATTAGTAAAGAAGTGAGTGATCTAATTTGTTCTCTACCGTCTTCAGTCAAGTAACCTTCTTCTGTCGTCTTCATTTAAGTAACCTTTATCTGTTGTCTTCGAGGTATAACCCTTAACATCCTTCCCCATCTATACATATTTTGCATTTATATTTCAAGGAAAACACAGTTATTCTACTGTGCTATGAATTAAATCAGACTTTAGGTTTATTGCTTTTGGGTTTGTGAAAATGATAGATAGGAAATTGCAGATATATATATATATATATATATATATATATATATATATATATATATATATATATATTAGTAAAGAAATGAGTGATCTAATTTTTTCTCTACCGTCTTCAGTCAAGTAACCTTCTTCTGTCGTCTTCATTTAAGTAACCTTTATCTGTTGTCTTCGAGGTATAACCCTTAACATCCTTCCACATCTATACATATTTTGCATTTATATTTCAAGGAAAACACAATTATTCTACTGTGCTATGAATTAAATCAACTTTAGGTTTATTGCTTTTGGGTTTGTGAAAATGATAGATAGGAAATTGCAGAGGGGGACAGAGAGGATTATTGTTTTAGGATGTCTATAGAACAAATTTCTACTCCTAAGGAAGATAAAGAACAAGTGAAAAATGTCCCTAATGTTGGTGAATCAAATGCAGGGGAATCAAATAATGTTCCTATGAATGTAGGTGACGATTCAACTCAAGTAGAAACTGGAAGTTCATTTCAAATACAAAATAAAATTGTTGGAAAAAGACGCACCTCAGTTGTATGGAATCACTTTAAGAGACAAAAAATAGATGGAAAGTCATTTGCAATTATTGTAGCTCAAAACTTTTGGGGGAGGCAAGGCAAGGGACATCACACTTGATGGCCCACTTTAGGTCTTACAAACTTCGAACAACTCGAGACATCAAGCAAGCATATCTCAAAACAGAAAAAGTTGGGAGTGAAACAATAGTTGTTGGCAACTATGTATTTAATCAAGAAGCAATAAGGCGTGCTCTTGTTAAGATGATAGTTCTACATGAGTATCCAATGTCAATGGTTGATCATATGGGCTTTAAGAAATTTTGTCTTACTTTGCAACCTTTATTCAAGGGGATTTCTCGAAACACTATAAGAAGTAACATTATGAAGGTTTATAATGAAGGAAAAGAGAATATAATGAAATTGTTATCAAAGTCGAATTGCAATTACTACTGATATGTGGACTGCTAGTAACCAAAATAAAGGTTACATGACGGTCACTGCTCACTTTATTGATGATTTATGGAACCTACAAAGTCGACTTATGAGGTAATGTTTCTAAACTATATAACTACAATTTCTAATATTTTCTTTACTTGTTTATGAATAGATTATTAAAATATTTATCTTAATATTAGGTTCATTTATGTGTCTGCTCCTCATACTAGTAAAGTTCTTGCTAATGTCTTAGTTCAATGTTTGATGGATTGAAATTTAGATTGAAACTTGTCCACTTTGATTGTTGACAATTGCACTGCTACGTACTAAGGAAAACAAAATGAACGAAAGGGTACAAGAAAAAGAAGTAACTGAATGGTACGTGCGTGCATGCATGCATGCAGCTCAAGTATTATTTATATCAGAAAAACAGATAACAGAAAACTGAACTTGAAAAACAGAAGTTTTTTAGTTTGGCTTATTCAACACTCCTCCTCAAACTAAAAATAACATGAAACATCTACAACACCAAGATTATCTCTGAAACGTTTGAATCTTTCATTTTCAAAGGTTTTGTTAAAACATCCGCCACTTGTTCCTCTGATTTGCAGTTATCAATCTCTAGCTTCCGAGCTGCCACTTGCTCCCGAATGAAATGGTATTTAAGCTCTATATGTTTACTCCTACCATGTAGAGTTGGATGCTTTACGAGGCTTATTGCCGATTGATTATCAATCAGTAACTTCATCTTTTGCACCTGTTTAACTCCCAATTCTCTCATCGATGTTGTCAACCAGATTCCTTGGCATGCTGCATTGGATGATGCAACATATTCAGCCTCGCAACTTGAAAGAGCTACGATGGGTTCTTTCGTAGAGCTCCAAGAGATTGGTGCTTTTCCAAGAAAAAACACATACCCACCCGTACTCTTTCTATCATCCCTATCACCACTCCAATCAACGTCAGTAAACCCAACCAGTCTATTTTCTCCTTTGACAAGCATGATTCCCAGTTTCAATGTTCCATGAAGGTACCTTAAAATGTGCTTTACAGCAAGTAGATGAGATGCTTTTGGTTCCTGCATATACATGCTAACCAAGCCAACACTCAAACTAAGATCTGGTCTTGTGTTGCAAAGGTATCTCAGGCTGCCCACGATACTTCTATACTGCGCTGGATCCACATTTTCTTCGTCAGGACTTAGGTCAAGCTTCAATCCAGACTCTGCAGGGGTGCTTGCAGAGTTACTCTGATGCATCCCAAATCTCTTTACTAAGTCCCTCGCATACTTCATTTGATGTAGCAACATCCCAGTGGGTGTTCTCTTGAACTTTATGCCAAGGAAGTAACTCAAGTTTCCCAGATCAGTCATTTCAAATTCTGAAAGGAGATCACGCTTGCACTCACAGATCAACTTCTCAGTGCTTCCAGTGACCAGGAGATCGTCAACATATAGGGATATGATGACTTTCTCATTGCTGTGCTGCTGCATTTTCACGTAAACACCGTGCTCTGATTTACACTTGATGAACCCAATCTGCTCAAGGAATGTGTCAATGCGTTTATTCCACGCTCTTGGTGCCTGCTTAAGCCCATATAGAGCCTTCTTCAATTTATAAACTTTGTTTTTCTTCTCCTGATGTTCAAAGCCACTGAGTTGCTGCACATAAACCTCCTCCTATAGTGGACCATTGAGAAAGGCAGATTTAACATCTAACTGATGTAATGACCAGTTAGAGTGGAAAAAGCAACCACTAATCTAATCGTCTCCAATCGAGCAACAGGTGCATAAACCTCACTGTAGTCTATCCCTGTTCTCTGCAAGAACCCTTTGGCGACGAGTCTCGTTTTATATCGCAAAATCTCTCCTTTAGGATTCATCTTCAGCTTATAGACCCACTTGAGCGCAATGGGCTTCTTACCAGGTGGTAGTGGGACAAGTTCCCAAGTCTGGTTCTTCTCGATGGAGTTAATCTCTTCCTCCATTGCACTCAGCCAGTGAGGATTCTTCACTGCTTCTTCAAATTCTACAGGTTCTACCTCTGCAATCAATGCAAAATGAATCAAGCTCCCATCCGCTGTTACTGCTGAATCATCAAAGATTTCGTAATCCCTCAGACGTGAAGGAAGATGTGATGTGCGTTGTGATCTTCTTGTAACTGACGCTTCACCTCGGTTCTGATCTTCTGAGTCAGTTTCTTTATCGAAAGTCACTTTTGTAGTGTTTTCTTCTTTCTCAACACAATCTCATGACCAACTGCTTGCCTCATTGAACGTAACATCACGACTGATTGAAACCTGTTTTGTGGCAGGATCAAACAACTTGTATCCCCTTGTTACATGATAACCAATGAACACATGCGATGTGCCTTTGTCATCGAGCTTTCTCCTTAGTGGGTCTGGCACATGCTTATAACACATGGATCCAAAATTTTTGAAGTGTGAAACACTTGGTTTGACACCTGTCCAGGCTTCTTCTGGTGTCACCTTTAGACGTTTTGTTGGTGCATGGTTCAGCATGTGTGCAGCAGTAACAGCTGCCTCTCCCCAGAATTGGTTTGACACATTCTTTCCCTTCAACATGCACCGTATCATGTTTAGCAATGTCCTATTCATACGTTCAGCAGTTCCATTATGTTGAGGGGTATAAGGTGGAGTCTTCTCATGAATTATTCCCTCTTTCTCACAAAATGAGTTGAAGTTCATTGATGAATACTCACCACCTCCATCACTACGCAAGACCTTCAACTTCTCCCCACTCTACCTCTCGACCATCCTGTCAAACTTTTCAAACACTTCTTGAACGTCACTTTTTCGTGCAAGCAAATACACCCACAATTTTCGTGTGTATTCATCGATGAAGGTGAGTATGTATTTGTTCCCTCCTGGAGTTGTGACATGCATAGGACCACAAACATTAGTGTACACAACTCCTAGCTTTTTGGTTGCTCTTCCACTAACAAATTTCTT